GTGAGGGGCGGGGCGGAGTGTGGGTGTGAGGGGCGGGGCGGAGTGTGGGAGTGAGGCGCGGGCGGAGTGTGGGTGTGAGGCATGGGGCTTTCATGTGGACAGGGACCTGGAGTCCTAGGCATCACTGGGCCAGAGGCTGCACAGCACGAGGGCGTAGGCCTGGGTGGCCTCACCTCTGAGTGGGGATGTGTTGACTCAGCTTAGCTGCTTTGGGGCCGTGTGACCCAGTGCCGGTGGCAGAACCTTCTCTTCAGTTTCCTTCTCTGTAAAACAGGAGGGCAATCCTAACAGCTGCCCTGAGGTTGCCAGAGTTGAATAGGTAAATTGCATAAAGTGCTTGGACCAAGGCCTGACTCAGAGCACAGCGGTGTGACTCCTGCTGTCGCCTGCCTGCGCGGTGCCTGTTCCTGCCTCCTGGAGCTGAGGAGGGTGCCCCGTGGGGTGGTTGTGCTGGGGGACGTGTAGGTGGTTCTGGGTTTTCTCTGTTAACAGCAGTGCTGCGGGGCCCGTGTGTGCATCTGTCTCCATGCACTGGGACGCTGAGGAGTTTGCTGGCTCAGGGGACTGAGGGTGGCCGGCCTCAGAAGCCCCTCACAGGCCATGCTTTCCATGCCCCCGGCCCCATGGCCTGGAGGTGGAGGTACGTGGAGTCCTCCCTCCTCTCTGTGGTCTCTATACGGCTTCGTCGGCAGGAGAACAAAGCTGTTCTGTTCTTTGAAACCCCACCTCGCTTCCCCTGAAATTTCTCTGAACCCAGGCGGAACCTTGGGAGCACAGAACGTCCCAGAAACAGCCTGGCAGAGCATCAATGGGATATGTGGGAGGGCCTGGCCCCTACCTTTGGGAGCAGGAAGAAGTGCTGTGGTTTCTCTTGAGGCAGGCGTGACACGTGCTAAGTGAGAGGAAAGGGTTTCTTGGCCAGTGCAGACAGACAGACTCCAGCTCTTGGTGGTGCAGACGGACAGGCTCCAGCTCTCGCTGGAACCCCTTCCTGCCTTTGCTTGCTGGGCACACTGGGTGCTGTGAGATTTGGAGACGTCCCCGAAGACTCAGGCCCTCCAGGAGCCTCCCTGAACCCACATGTTCTTCCTGGCTGCTCTCGCCGCCCTCCTTTAGGATTTGTTTTTCAGCGAGTGAGCTGGCTGGCTTGGATACTGAAGCAGGGTGTTGGGTGTGTTTCTGGGGACCATGCTGTGCTCCGCATGTGCTGGGTCAACATCCTCACAGACCCGGCTGCCCTTGCGTGGATTCCAGGATGCGGGGAGCGCCCTGGGCTTTGGTGTTGCCTTCCAGGCTTGGTGGAAGCTTCTTAGTGGGAGGTGGGCTGGCTGACCCGAGGGTCCCGAGACACACAAGGGGTCTCTGGCCTGCCGTCAGAGGGCTGGGATGAGGACAGGACCCCAGGTGCTTGGGAGCCTCCACAGTTGCAGAACCAGATGAACGGCCTGGGGGCGTCCCATAGGGTCCGGCCTGTGGTTCCTGGGAGCCCCCGCTCCAGCCTCCTCCAGATGCCATGGGGGGCCTGCTGGTTTAGGACCCCTTAGTCAGCTCCATCTGTGGCTGTGGGCTGGCTCCCGGCACCCTGTACCTACACTCTCGGGGTCAGCTGTCTGTGCGGCCTGATCAGGAGGCCCCCGCGTAGCTTCCCTAATGCCATCTCTGTGGCTCAGGGGCAACTCCCTAGGGAGAGAGGGCAGGCGTCACTCTCCCCTGCACTGGGGCCCTTCTGCCTGCTCCCCTTTCCTCGCCCCTGCCACGCTGTGCTGCTGGGGAGTGAGGCTGGTGCGTCGTGCACCTGCCCTGGGTGCCACGGGAGCTGGTGGTAGGACAGGGGACTCGGCCTCCTCCACGCAGCCCCCCAGCCCTTCTGGGCTCCCGTGCTGCCCACTGTGAGTGCAGTGCTCATGATGACACTGTCTATTCCACAGACCTCGACAGAGCTGGAGGCGCTCTTTGTTTTTTGAGTTTTTTTGTTGTTGTTTTTCCTTTTTGTTCCCCCCACCCTCTGTCTAATGGCTAGAGGTGCTTATGTCGCAGCAAACTCACCTCCAGGAAGCATTTTACTAGGCCTGATCATGCACAAAGAAAGACTTCTGCACGCGCCACGGGCCTCACGCATCGTAGGGGCTGTTCTGCTCCGGGCACCCTGGCTCCAGGGCTGCACTCCCCGGGCTATCTGGGGGGCCGTGTTGTTTCCTGTTCCTCCTACCACGTGGCCCATTGTGCGTGCCCAGGACGCAGCTCACGCCCTCTGTGACCGGCCACGTGAGCTCAGCCACAGGCAGCCCTGTGGACACTCGGGCTCTTTCCACTTTGTGGCTGTTGCGAAACTTGCTGCCGTGAACGTGTGTCTAGACGTTTTGGGGGGAGACATGTTTTCAGTTCTCCAGTGTGCACCTAGGAGTTGGAGGTGGGGTCACACAGGCTGCAGTTCATTTGGCAGGGAGCTGGGGTGTTGCTGCCAGGGAGCTCATTCGCGACTCTGCCCAGGGTTTTCTTTTTCCTTTTTTTTTTTTTTTTTTTTTTTTTTTTTTTTTTGTGAGACAAGGTCTCGCTGTGTCATCCAGGCTAGAGTGCAGTCGTGCGATCGTGGCTCACTGCAGCCTTGACTTCCTGAGCTCAAGAGATCCTCCCACCTCACCCTCGTAAGTGGCTGGGTCTACAGGTGTGCACCACCACACCCAGCTAATTCTCCTATTTGTCATAGAGACAGAGTCTCACTATGTTGCTCAGGGTGGTCTCGCACTCCCTGGGCTCAAGCGATCCTGCCCCCTCAGCCTCCCAAGGTGCTGGGATTACAGGCGTGAGACTCCGCGCCCAGTCTTTTCTTTTTTCTTTTGTAGAGACAAGGTCTCTGTCATCCAGGCTGACGTGCAGTGGTGCAGCCAGCTCACCACAGCCTTGACCTCCTGGGCTGAAGCGATCTTTTTGCCTCTACCTCCCGAGTGGCTGGGACTACAGGTGTGCGCCACCACGCCCCCCTCCTGCCCAGGGTTGTTACTGGGGTGGTCACGTGGGCAGCTTCTGCCTGGGATGGACCACAAAGCCAGACTCCCGGCGGGGACACGAGTGTTCCACATAAGCTGCATCATTGGTTCCATGATGCCCGTTAGGCGGGAGGAGGGGTGGGAAAGCCGAGCCCCCAAGTGCCTGCAGAGCCCACCTGGTGCAGACCTCGCCGCCTCGGGGCTGCTGCTCGCACTTCTGCACCTTCCCCTGACTAGGCCCCTGTTCCTTGAGGCCACACCACACCCTCATTCATTTTTCCACACTCTGAGCTGTGCCTCCCAAGCCCAGGGCAGCCAGGCTTGGCAGAGCCTCTGCCTTGAGGCCAGCATGCCCAGTGGCCCCTTTGAGAGGATTTCCTGGAGCTTCCTGTCTGAGCTTCCTGGCCTGAGGGCATTGGGAAGGAGCCTGCGGAGCTGGAGGTCAGCAGGTGGACGGGTTGCGCTGTCCTGGCTTTTGGAGTGTGGAGCCAGAGCGGGTGGGACAGGTGACCTGCTGCTGGGCTTGGTGGTCCCTGCTGCAGGGAAGGGGCAGCTGGTGTGAACACAAGGAGCTGCAGGACTGGAGAAGGCCAGGGCCAGGAACCTGCCGATGGACACCGGCGAGGGGCCAGGCACGGCCCGGACTCCCTGGCCGGCTGGGGTCCGACAGGAGCGCCAGGTTCCTTGGGCTGCCCAAGGAGCTGCTTGTTTGGCCTCTGTTTTTTCATCTGTAAATGGAATGAGTTCTACACAAGATCCAAGTGCCGTCCCCTGTTTGAGAAGGTTCTTGTGGGCTCTGGGCTCATCCCACCTCCCACAGTGGGCAGGAGGCCACCGAGAGGTGCAAGACCATGCGCCATGTTTCGAGAGGAAGCTGGGCCTCAGAGGATCCTGGGGCCTGTGTCTGAGACCCAGCCAAGTGCTGGACGTCTCCCCTTCCTCGTGGCTGTTGTGGCCGAAGTACATCCCCCCAAATTCTCATGTTGCAGCCTTAACCCCAGCACCTCAGAGTGGGACTCGATTTGGAGATGGAGCCCCTACAGAGGTCACCAGGTTAAAAGAGGCCATCAGGGCTCTGGGTGGGCCCTGATCCAAGCTGATTGGTCCTTTTAAGAAGATGAGATGAGGACACAGACACACACAGAGGGACAGCGCCATGAGGACACGGGGAGTTGACGCTGTCTGCAAGCCCTGGGGAGAGGCCTCGGGAACCAGCCTTGGAGACGCCTTGACCTTGGACCCAGTGCTCAGGACAGTAGGAGAATTGAAGCCACCTGGTTGCAGCCCTTCCCGATGCCACCCTATATTAGTCCATTCTCACACTGCTAATTGTTGGGAAAAGGGCTTGTGGGGCACCTGTATAAACTGGCCATAAAAATGTGGGACAATAAGTTGTGGAAAGCTACAAGAGGCCTCTGAGGAGGAAAGCCTCCTGGTTGCCATCATGTTCCCATGCTCAGAGTGAGACCCGCTCTCTTATCTGTAAACACGGTGTTCAAGGAGAAGGCGCTGGAATGTGGACAGACGTGCAGGCTGCTGGTTAAGCCACTCCCACTAACTCTCTGATAAGTTAAAGATAGGCTGTTTGAGCACAAAGGAGATTCCTTTAAACCGCTATTGCTATAGATTATGCCTGTGACATACTGCCTCCCTTTCACCGTTTCGCCCTGAACGTCTGCTTCTTAGATCTAAGTGATTGTACTCAATAAATAGTGTGGACACCAGACCTCGGTGCCTTTTGCAGCCTCCATTTTGCAACTGGCCCCCTGGCTCCCACCTTTATGAACTCTTCCTTTCTTTTTTTTTTTTTGAGACGGAGTCTCGTTTTGTTTCCCAGGCTGGAGTGCAGTGGCGTGATCTCCACTCACTGCAAGCTCCACCCACCAGGTTCATGCCATTCTCCTGCCTCAGCCTCCCGAGTAGCTGGGACTACAGGCGCCCACCACCACGTCTGGCTAATTTTTTGTATTTTTAGTAGAGACAGGGTTTCACCATGTTAGCCAGGATGGTCTTGATCTCTTGACCTCATGAACCGCCCGCCTCGGCCTCCCAAAGTGCTGGAATTACAGGCGTGAGCCACTGTGCCCGGCCCCACCTTTATGAACTCTTAACCTGTCTCTTCTCATTCCTTTGTCACCACTGGACTTTGGGTACCCTACCGGTGGTGTTGAGGCTGGTCCCCAACACTAATAAAGGTGTACCTGAGACTGGGTTATTTATAAAGGAAAAAAGTTTAATGGACTCACAGTTCAGCAAGGCTGGGGAGGCCTCAGGAAACTTACAGTCATGGCAGAAGTGGAAGCAAACACGTCCTTCTTCACATGGCAGCAGAAAGGAGAAGTGCAGAGTGAGGGGCCCAGGGTTTTCAAAGCCCCTTAAAACCATCAGCTTTTGTGAGAATTCAGTCCCTATCACGGGAACGGGATGGGGGAACCGCCCCCATGGTTGAATGACCTCCTGCCAGGTCCCGCCCACAACATGTGGGGATTATGGGAACTACAATTCAAGATGAGATTTGGGTGGGGACACAGCCAGGCCATGTCACCTCCCCAGGAAAGGAGCACATGTGCAGCGGTGGTGAGTCCCATCCTGCTTGGAAAGATACTCAGAATCCGAGGGCAGAAAGGACCAGGAGGGACCATTGCTCGCCTCCCTCTTCCTACCCGTCACCCCAAACCCCGCCCCGGCCTGGCAGAAGCCTCCCCAGGACACACCCTGTACCAGAGGGGCAGGCTGCTGTGTGAGGCACTGACCTTGCCCACGGTGGATACCCCCTGCCCCTCCTGACCCGCAGTGACTGTTAACCCGGAGTCCATCAGGGGCTTGGTCTCTGGCAGACCCACCCCTCAGTGCGTCTACTCTGGTGTCCCGGGCAGAGCACAGGGCAGGCGCCCCCAGATGCACACCCCAGACGCCGCACCGTGCCTGGAGCATTGCTTCTGATGGCAGTCTCAGTACTTTTGCGCCACACGTGCTCCCGTACGACGGCTCCTGGGGAAAACCAAAGGCGTCCCTGCCAGTGGGAGCCAGTGACTGGTACGCAGGAGGGCCCTCAGGGGCAGGAGCCATGGAACCGTCCTCTGGTGTGGGAATTCAGGGGATCTTAGCCACAGAGCATGGCGCATGGGCTCAGAGCTGGCTGGCCGTGACCTACCAGTGCGAGATACTTGGACTTTGCTGTTGTAGGAATCCATACGTCAGAGTTTTCTTTATTTGCTGAAAAAGGCATGCGTTAGAGGATGATGCACGTGGGAGGAGGCCAGGAGCCCCTCAATGTGAGGCGTTTCTCATGGGCAAATGTGGGGTATCCATGGTGGACCCCACCCTGTGTGGATGGCTGCCCCCTGAGCATGCTTTGAGCTGGAGCTGTGGTCGGGTCCCACAGTGCAGGAAGGGCTCCCAGGGGACTGGTGGTCCCGCCTGCAGGAAGCCGATGCATCTGTCCTCACACCTTTATATGCCTGTCTGCCTGGGGTGGACACCACCCTGGCTACCCATCGGGCCAAGGGCAGGTTGTATACACCTGGGCTGAGGCCTCTTTCTCATTCACATTTGTCTCTTGCTCAGGAGTTGATCTAAGATTGGCTCTAATTGCACCTTAATAAGCTTGTTGGGGTGGGGACGTAACAAGCCTTACCTGCCAGGGTGTCCAGGTGACAGTGGCCGGTGGCCGAGCACCCCGGCCTGAATAGCTGGGAGCTCATGCAGGAGACTCTGGGAAACAAGAGGCTGTGGCGTTGTGGGGAGATTGTAGCCGGGGCATTCTGGACAGCAGTGGGGGAACAACACAGCCGTGAGCTGGTGTGTGTCTCCGCACACCCGGCCTGTACCTGGGACGCAGCTCCCACAGCAACTGGCAGTGGGAGGGTGGGGGCCACTGAGGCCGTAGTAACAATCCCTGACAGTGTAGGGTCAGGGGGCTCACGGGGGCTTGAGGTGTCCGGTCTGGACAGCTGTCGGGACCTGCCAAGCACTGTGCCTGGTGATCTCCTGCTGGCCTTGTGCCAGTCCATGGGGAGGAGCCGTCCACCAGGCAACGTGGGCGGGTGTTGAGGGAGGCCCGCGACCGCATGGCTGGCCCCCTTGTGTCTGAGCCCCCATGGTTTCCTCTGCCTCTAGGCTATGCCCACTGGAAGGGCCAAGTGCTGAATTCAGATGAGCTGCAGGAGTTGTACGAAGGCCTGAAGCTGAACAACGTGAATAAATATGACTACGTGCTCACAGGTGGGTGCCGCAGCGAGCTGCTGCAGGGGACTACAGACCCCGCTCCAGCCAGGGTGGGCTCAGGGAGGTCCAGAGCACCCCCACCCCGGGCCCATCTCGGGTCCCTGCTCCTTCAAGGAGGGCCTCGGCATGCCCAAGCCACCATCACACCCCCGGTAGCCTGGGGGGTCCTGGCCATGCCGTGCCTGCCTGGACAATGACTATCCTGGCTGTGCCAAGTCACCCCCACTCCTGTGGCCACACTGGGGTTCCGGTGCCCAGGGGAGGGTGCAGGCAGGGTGTTGGGAATGCTGACCGGGGCAGGACAGGTGGGTGGGACACTCAGGTGACGGGCTGCTACCTGGTACACTGGCGTCTTTTGTCAACTTTCTCATTAAACAAAAAATTGTATTTCTATACATGTTTATTATTGTAATAATAATTATTATTACTATTTTTGAGACAGGGTGTTACTCTGTGGCCCAGGTTGGAGTGCGCTGGCCTAGTCATAGCTCACTGCAGCCTCAACCTCCCGGGCTCAGGTGATCCTCCTGCTGCAACCTCCCAGGTAGCTGGGAGTAAAGGCATGCACCACCACGCCCAGCTTTTTTTTTTTTTTTTTTTTTTTTTTTAGAGACAGGGTTTTGCCATGTTGCCCAGGCTGGTCTTGAACTCCTGGGCTCAAGCCAGTCACCCACCCTGGCCTCCCAAAGTGTTGGGATTACAGGCATGAGTCACTGCACCCAGCCTAGTTTCTACATTTTTAAACAGTTAGGGGAAACACTTAACCTCCCAAAGTGTTAGAATTACAGGTGTGAGCCATGGTGCCCAGCCTCTCTACATGTCTAAAGGTCATATATAAGGCCAGGCACAGGGGCTCAAACCTATAATTCCAGCACTTCAGGAAGACTAGGAGGGAAGCTCGCTTGAGGCCAGGAGTTCAAAACCAGCCTAAGCAACATAGCGAGACCCTGTCTCTACAAAAAATTTTTTAAAAATTAATTAGCTGGGCATAGTCCCAGCTACTCGGGAAGCTGAGGTGGGAGCTTGAGCCTGGGAGTTCAAGGCTGCAGTGAGCTGTGATTGAACCACTGCACTCTGGACTGGGGGACAGAATGACACCCCGTGTCAAAATAAATAAGACTAAATTAAAGTGTCATATGCTTGTTACTGAAAGTAGGAATATAAACAAAAGAAAGATTACTCCTTTGCCTCTCGCCCGTGGGCTCGTTCCTGTGAAGCACGGCGTTTCTGTTGGGAAATGCTTCAGGGTCTGCCCTCGGTATCTTTGGACTGTGGGGACACCTCGCCTGCACCCACCTCCCTCCCCCCAGCCCCCGAGCCCTGTGGGGACACCTCGCCTGCACCTGTCTCCCTCCCCCCAACCCCGAGCCCTGTGGGGACACCTCGCCTGCACCCACCTCCCTCCCCCGCCACCCCTATGCAGGGTCTGCTGGTGCTTCTCTTTCTTTGTGCCACGGTTGATCGTGGTGAGTCTCCTGTTTTCTGAGGGTAACCTGGGTTCTCCCCCTCAAGGTTATACGAGGGACAAGTCGTTCCTGGCCATGGTGGTGGACATTGTGCGGGAGCTGAAACAGCAGAACCCCAGGCTGGTATATGGTAGGCAGGGGCCCACCCTCGGGTCTGGCTGGGTGGCCCCACACAGGGTAGGGCTGGCGTGGGAGCCCGAGAAGGGACGTCTTAGCCTCCTTCCTCCTCTGCACCCCTCCATGCCCCGCCTCTCCGGGCAGTGAGCTATGTCTGCCAGGCCTCTGAAGATGTGGGCCTGCTGAAGTCCACTGGGCTAGAAGCGTTTGCAGGTGACCCTGGTGTCTTGTGTGGCTGGTGTGAGACAGGAAGGGGTGTCAGTGTGCTCATATAGCAGGGCTGCTGTGTGAAGGCCTGGGGCCCAGGCAGCACTGTTGTGTGACTCCACTGACCCTAAATGCGGAGGGGGCAAGGGGCCACACCCAGGCAGGGCCAGGCTAGGGAATTGGAGAAGGGAGGGTTGGGGTCACACCCAGGCAGGACCAGGTTAGGGAGTTGGAGAAGGGAGGGGCCACACCCAGGCAGGACCAGGCTAGGGAGTGAGGACGGACAGGGTCACACCCAGGCAGGGCCAGGTTAGGGAGTAGGGGAGGGGAGGGCCACACCCCAGGGAGGTCCAGGGCTAGGGAGTGGGGGAGGACAGGGTCCTACCCAGGCTGGGCCAGGCTAGGGAGTGGCCAAATCTTTGGGGCATCTGCCTAGATCGATCTTTCCTTAGAGGCCAGGCAGTGCTGGGTCCATCTTGCCGCCTGGGAGAATGGGCAGCGTCACCCAACCTTGCAGACAGGCTCTCTCTGGGGCGCAGGTCTCCCGGGTGGCCGGAGGGCAGGCCTGGCCCAGCACATGGTTTGCCACGCTGTGTACTGTTGCCCAAAGGGAAAGCGCTTGTCGGGACAGATGTACAAGGCCCGGATTGTGTGTGCTCGAGGCCAGGAAGAGGAAGGGAGCCGCTGCACCTGCTTGGGTGACAAACAGTGATGAATGACACCTCACAGCAATTAGGATGACTGTCATCAAACACACGGAAAATAGCAAGTGTGGGCGAGGATGCAGAACCCCTCACGCACAGCTGCTGGGAGGATCAAAGGCTGTGGCCACAGTGGAAACCACGTTGGCAGTTCCCCAACAAGCGTAACACGGACGCCACATGACCAGCAATTCCGCCCTGTGCATAGATCCGAGATAGCCTCAGACGGATGTGCATGTTCCCATGTTTGTAGCAGCATTGTTCCCAGTGACCAAAGGTGGATACAGGCTGTGTCCAGTGATGGCTGACAAAGAAAATGTCCGTGCATACAGTGGAGTATTACTCATTCTGGAAAAGGAAGGAACTTCTGACACACTCTGCAGTGTGGATGACACTTGAGGACATGATGCTCAGTGAAAGTAGCCAGACACCAAAGGACAACTGTTACATGATTCCATTATGTGAAATATCCATGATAGGCCAATTCATCGAGGTAGAAAGCAGACTAAGGCCTGGCGTGGTGGCTCACGCCTGTAATCCCAGCACTTTGGGAGGCCGAGGCAGGTGGATCACCTGAGGTCAGGAGTTCAAGACCAGCGTGGCCAACATGGTGAAACCCCATCTCTACTAAAAATACAAAAATTAGCCAGGTCTGGTGGCGTGCACCTGTAATCTCAGCTACTTTGGAGGCTGAGGCAGGAGAATTGCTTGAACCTGAGAGGCAGAGGTTGCAGTGAGCCGAGATGATGCCACTGCACTCCAGTTTGGGTGACAGAATGAGACTCTGTCTCAAAAAAAAAAAGCAGACTAGATATTACCAGGGCCTAGGGCAGGGGAAATGGAGAGCGAGTGTTTAATGAGGACAGAGTTTCGGTTTGGGAAGGTGAAATGTTTTGGAGGTGGAGAGTGGTCGTAGTTACACAATAGCAAGAATGCGCTTAATGCCCCTGAATTGTACACCTAAATATGCTTAAACTGGCAAAGATTATGGTATATATTTTTTACCACATTAAAAAGTTAAATTAAAAAAGAGAAGATATCTACTTCCACTTGGCAGCTTAAAAAAAAAAAAAAGAAAGAAAAAAGCCAAATGTGGTTGTTTACGCTCATATTCCAAGCACTTTGGGAGGCCAAGGTGGGAGGATCGCTTAAGCCTAGGAATTCAAAACCAGCCTCGGAAACATGGTGAGAACCCATCTATATAAATCATTTAAAAGTTAGCTGGGTGTGCTGGTGCATGCCTGTGGTCTCAGCCACTTGGGAGGGTGAGGCAGGAGGATCCCCTGAGCCTAGAAGATCGAGACTGCAGTGAGCCATGATTGTACCACTGCACTCCAGCCTGGACAACAGAGCAAGACCCTGTTTAAAAAATAAAAGAAGAAAGAAATGTTGAGGGTTTCTTACTCGTCAGCTATAGCCTTTGCTGATAAGATGTCCTTGTGTCTCTGCAGTGTGTGATCCAGTCTTGGGTGACAAGTGGGATGGCGAAGGCTCGATGGTGAGTAATCTCATGTGTGTGGTTTAAAAATGTGGTGAGTGGAGCTATTTCTATCCAGCCAGAAGACAGGCTCACGTCTCTTAAGTGTCTAACTTGGTGGGACTTCTCTGTCCAGGGGTAAAAAGACAAACCTTATTAGGAAGGAAAAAGGGGACCCACATGTTTTCTGTAAAGTGCCCAATAGTAGATAAATATTTACGCCTTTGCCGGCCACACGGCTCTGCCACAGCTGTTTGCATTAGAGCACAGAAGCAGCCACAGGTAAGAGGTGTACAAACAGGATGACCTCTTCTCCTCGCCTCTCCTCTCCTTTCTTTTTCTTCTTCTTTTTCTTCTCTTTCTTTTCTTATTGAGACGGAGTCTCACTCAGTCACCCAGGCTAGAGTGCAGTGCCACAATCTCAGCTCACTGCAACCTCTGCCTCCTGGGCTCAGGCAATTCTCATGCCTCAGTCTCCCAAGTAACTGGAATTACAGGTGTGCACCACCACACCCAGCTAATTTGTGCATTTTTACTAGATACAATTTCACCATGTTGTCCAGGCTGGTCTCGAACTCCTAGCCTCAAGTGATCCACCTGCCTTGGCCTCCCAAAGTGCTAGGATTACAGGCATGAGCCACCATGCCCAGCCATGCATGACTATTTTCTAATAAAATTTCATTTGTGGACACTGAAATTTGAATTTTCTATAATTTTCATGTGTCACAAAATACCATTCTTTTTTTTTTTGACTTTTTCCCCCTAACCATTTAAAAATATAGAAACCAGGCTGGGTGCAGTGGCTCACGCCTGTAATCCCAGCATTTTGGGAGGCCAGGGTGGGTGGCTGACTTGAGCCCAGGAGTTCGAGACCAGCCTGGGCAACATGGGGAAACCCCACCATCTGTAATCAAAATACAAAACAATGAGCTGGGTGTGGGGATACCCACCTATAGTCCCAGCTACTTGGGAGGCTAAGGTGGGAGGATCACTCGAGCCCAGGAGGTGGAGGCTGCAGTGAGCTGAGATCACACCACTACACTCACTCCACAGAGCAAGACCCCATCTCAAAAAACAAAGGAAATCTAGAAACCACTGAGCCCGTGAGCTGTATAGTAACAGCAGCAGCTGCAGCCCACAGACCTGGACATCGGATCAAGTGGATGGAGAACAGATCCACTGTGACCAGTCCAGAAGCCTAGAATTTAGAGGTGGAAGGAACCCAAAAGTGATCCTGCCTGTGGGTTTTTAACGCAGCCATTCAGCACCCAGGCGATTTCAGTATCCGCGTTCTTTGTCGTTGTGTCTAGTGTGTCTGTTTGCTTGCTGTATGTTCACTGAGCATAGCGGGCTTCTTCACTGGCACAGGACACGCCTGGGCCTGCGCCCTGCCTGCCCCGCTGGGTCAGTGGTTGAAGTCAGGATATCTGTTGTTGGGTCTCTAACCAGGTGGGGCGGGCTGGGCTGCTCAGCGTCTGTCTGTCCACTTTCTCCCATGCTTGTTCTCTGGAAGGTTCCCTGCCCTGCACCCATCCTGCAGGACCCCAGCTTGCAGCTCTCTGCTTTCCCTTCATGGTGCTCCCTGGTGTGGGCTCTGCCGACCCTCAGCAGACACTCGTGTTTGGATCACAAAGAGTTGGGGCCACTGTCTGGTTCAGTGCAGCGACGGGATCTGGCCCCTTGATTTTGATCACATTCGTTTTCCTGAATGAGAGTGGCCTGAACACGAGCTGCTATCTCAGATGGGCGGTCACCCCGTCTGTCCCGTTTCCGTGAGGTTAAAGGGATGTGCTTGGGCCTCCCTACCCAAAATGGGGCTCTAAAGAGCCTTCCTTCCATTTCCTGGCCCATGGATCCGGGACATCCAGGTGCCACCCACCCATCCTTAGTGCCTCCTAAGCCATGTCTGAAGCAGCGGCCGGTGCGTGACCACCTTGCGTGCTCTGAGCACCCGGTGCAGAGGTGCCTCCTGCGGGGCCTCTGATCTCCAAGGGCAGTTTCCAGGAGCAAAGTGAAGTGAAGGGATTGGAAACTGAGGTCACTCAGCCAGCAGGGACTGGTGAAGTGTTCCATAAAGCCTGTAAAATTCTTCCAGAGCTTCGCACTGGCTCCAGCTTAAATTTGATCACTCAAGAAAACTCTGTGTTGCTGGGCACGGTGGCTCAGGCCTGTAATCCCAGCACTTTGGGAGGCTGAGGCGGGTGGATCACCTGCGGTCAGGAGTTCGAGACCAGCCTGGCCAACATGGTGAAACCCCGTCTCTACTAAAAAAATACAAAAAAGTTAGCCAGGCGTGGTGGTGGGCGCCTGTAATCCTAGCTACTCGGGAGGCTGAGGCAGGAGAATCACTTGAACCCAGGAGGTGGAGGTTGCAGTGACCCAAGACCACGCCATTGCACTCCAGCCTGGGCAACAAGAGCGAAATTCTGTCTTAAAAAACAAAACAAAAAATCACGTGTTGAATTGTTTGTTAGACAACTTAGACAAAAACAAGTAGATGGAGGGCGCGTTGGCTCAGCCAGGAAGATCTGGCGGGTTGGGCTCCCAGTCGCAGATGGGCATGGCCAGCGCCCCCCAGCCCTCCCCAGATGACCACGGCCGCTCCATCCACCCGTCAGGTTTCCCTTTTCTCGTCTCCCTCCTCCCTCTCTCCTTTACCTCCTCCTCCCAGACCCTCTGCGGGGACCCACTGTGCGGCCTGAGTCCTCCCTCGGCCCCTTGGAGCACTTAGGGTTCCCCGCGGTAGTGTGCCTCAGCCACGTGCTGCCCCTGTGGTGGGAACAGCTTGTCTCTACAGTCAGTCGGCCTGGCCCCTGAGCCTGGACTTCAGGGGGCTTTTTAGGGAGCACTCTGTGGTGGGCTTCCCTCCGCGCCCCCTGGCCTGCTTCCCTCCCAGTGACTCAGCCTCTCCTCCTGTCTCCTTTGTTCGCCAGTATGTCCCGGAGGACCTCCTTCCCGTCTACAAAGAAAAAGTGGTGCCGGTTGCAGACATTATCACGCCCAACCAGTTTGAGGCCGAGTAAGTCATTTTATTTTATTTTATTTTATTTTATTTTATTTTA